ATCTGATCGACCACTTCTGCATTCCTGTGAGCCCCGGAGCCAGGCAGCTCGGTGGCACAGAGATTGCATTTAGTGGCACCTGTATGCTGTAAATTACACATATCCAGGAACCAGCCTACTCCTTTTCATACATTTTGGAAAACACACTCATGGACAGGTTTTGAGACAGTGAACTGATAAAGGCAGCAGCAAATGAACACAGTTTTGTTAATGAACACTGCTTTTTTAAAGATGAATTTTGCTTAGATCAGATATATTCAGGGACACTGAACGAGAGCCATAGATTATACAAGATCTGGGGTCTGAAACATTTCCCTACATTGATTAATCATACAGCTATTGTACCTTTTGAAAACCTGATGAACATACACACAGTGGCAGAAAATCCATGATAGACAAACAAATCAATCATCTTCACACTGGATTTGTTTAGAACATTAAGATTACAAACAAAAAGTTTCAACCTCCACATTAAGGATCATATTATTTATATTAAGGATCACGATAGCCTTCTACTCTGCATACTTTGCTTCACTATTAATTTTATGTCAATGATCACAGGATCAACAAGGCTTTGGTACTAGAACCTGGGACTGCCAAAAAGTAATACACTTTTGTTAGCATTAACCCAGTCTAAGACTGGCGTTTTATAGATTTATAGGCAAAGGAATACAGAAGGAAACATGTAGAAATAAAGTCTCTAAAGACGTAACATTGGTTTAGGTCTGTGGGTGGTATTCTTGCAAACCACAAAGCATAAATACCCTGTCCAGGAAAATTGATCATTATGGAATGCATTGTGTGCCTGAGTAAAAAGCTGTTTGCAGCCATTTCATACTTCTGCCACAAAAATAAGGCAAATAAGAAACACGACTGCTAAATAAGTCCCATTCTTTTCCCCCAGTCCTTCCCCCCATTTTTAACCCAAATCTATTTAGGCCTGTAAATATATAGATATATATAGATAGATATGTATGTAACACACACATGCTCTCTCTTAAGTTTAAAGACCCGCATCAATAGATTTCTGTACTTCAAACAATTTTAAGGAATTATAAGGCAAAGGAAGATAGTGACTGGAGAAGGCACGAGAAACCAAATTACCTCAGGAGCATTTTACAAGATTTCTTATCGAATGTGCGCTGCCATATTGCTAGGCCCAACTCTTCAAGGAACGTATTCTGGAAGACAAAATATTCAGGGACATTTTCATGGCATATTTTCAAGCAGTGGATTCTACCTTTAATATACCCAGAGGCTTCAGCTTTAGAAGCAAAAGGAGCAGGCAAGGTCCTAAGGCAGACATTACTCCCCTCTCCTGATATCCCAATTCAAGTCTTTTTTAAGGTTATTTTCTGTGTTACACCTTGGAACAACCCACTCCCTCCCCCACACAGTGAGTTAAATCTGTGGAAATAAAGCATTTTTTGTAACACAAGCATTAAAGAAGTTTGCCAATACTATTACCACCAAAGCGATTAAGCAAAAGAAAGCAACGTGGAGGTTGCAACAGCAAATGCATTCCCTGCTAGTTAGTAACACGCATCAACTTCTTAAACTGATTAGTTATCATAGATAGATCCGTATCCAATTAAAGTTTGATAAAACAGAATCAAATAGGAGGATCGTTACCTGCTTTTGAGAAGGTTCACCAAGCAAGCATTTTAAGCTTTTTGACTCTTTTAACACTGATACAAGGAATAATTATTTCTCTCTGCCGATGCGATTGTTAAAAGAAGAGAAACCCCGGATTGTGGTGGCTTCGTGGATGCTATTCTTTTTGCACCACAGCAGGATTCTTGGCTGCCAGTCCAAGCTGCTTTCACTTGCCAAGTTTTAAGATGCCGGTTTTGCCTTTCATTTTATTGTTCCTTTCGCAACGTTAAAGACCGACTTAAAAAACCATGCACAGCTGCTATCGGGGAGGGGGGGGAACTATTTGAATTTAGCACAAGAATGGAGATGAGGAAGGAGCGCGCTGTGATGTAACCACAACGACACCCACAGAAATATTTCCAGTATTGGGGGGGACGGACTCACGCTCGGAATCCTGGCATTTGCCTACAACACGGTTGGGATCTTAGTGTAAGAGAAGGGAATAATAAAACCATCCAGACCTACGATAAACCGTAGTCACGTTAGAGGTGGAGGTTGATACCTCTGCCCCCCACCACCTATTTTCTAAATCCACTTTCTGCGGCTTAAAACTATTCTTGCTCATTGAGGATTTCTTCCAGGGGGTGCAGGGAAGCAGAGGTTGGGGAGCAGCCTAACAAAAGGATTCCCCCCCCCCCGCACATGGACTCCTACCCCACCCTTTCGCTGCTTCCCTCTGATAGGAGTTCACCCATGCCCAAATATCCCGGCCTTTCTTTTGACGCAATGCCACCGTGAAGAGACTCGGCATCACGGCGCAAAAGCTTCCATCAAAATTCAGTCCCCGGCTGCGAATCCTTTCATCAAACACGTTCATTTATCGTAAGCGACTCATTTTCATTTTTGCTTTGAAATTGTGTAAAAGGAAAAGGTGGGAGTAGATTAATTTTTTCCAAAAAAAAACCAAAAAACCACCAACTTCTCTATATATGAGTTGATTTATTTTGTTTTACTTGATGTAGCAACAAAACTATTGGGATGGGTACCAAGGCTCAACTGCATTTAAATGAACGAACGGCAACAGAAAGTTGTTTGTGATCCTTCTCAGACTTTAGCTATTCAAAGCGTTATGGTGGCTTACGCTCAGTATACATCTATAGAATGATATAACTCCTCCACTGAAACACACACAGAGTCAGTCTGAACGACTACGTCTTGATACAGATGTTGGAGGGACATGTACTTCCTATTTGTGTAAAGAAAATTCCCACTCGGGCATGGCTCCTTGAGCTCCCTGTGCAGACAGACCTACGTGCATCTGTAATGCACCCAGGGTAGTCAGAATGGCTGGGGACGACTAGTTTTCACAGTACATAGGTGACTGTTTATACAGCCTGCAAGCCAGAAAATGGAAGCTGTTTCAAACATACAATAATCGAGGGTGAAAACAGCCCTGACACCAGCTGTTACATGTGCAGAGGTTTACGGCTGACTTTACAGCAGAGCTAACTTTAACTAACAGAAGATGAATGCACACCCCCCATTTCATATTTTAGGAGAAAAAGAGAGACTTATAGTTTCTATGAACACCAACGGTCTTAAACAAAAGCAGCGTGAATTAATAAAGGGGAAGGAAAAACAGAAGCTTTGTTCTAAAGTGGAAGCGTAAGATGTGAAATTTCAAAATCAGATGGCTTGGTCTGTGATTTCTTTCATTTAAATGAATTGATCTGTTGCTAAACTGCGGCTCTTGTGCCAAGAAACTTTTAACTCTTTCGGCTCAAAGCTCCCTGTGTTTTGCTCTTTTCTCCCTCTTCCCAATCACTGCAACTAAACCAGAAAGCAGAAATTAAAAATAAAGGGGGGAATAAGAACCCAGAGCATAGAGAGAACAGGGAATTAAACCCACAAGCACATGCAGAACACAAAAGAGCCACAATATGGAGCGTATCGGGGCTTCGTTAGAACTTCTACTGTATAAACAACGTGATTCTTGTTCTTACAACATTGCTAAAACTTGGAAAGGCGACAGAAAGGCCTTCAACCGTCACAATTCCACGTACAGCGAGAAGTCCGGGGCAAACCCAACCGAAACAGGGCTAGCAGCAAGAAAACAACAGAATCCCTGACCTGATTCATTGCAAAGATTCACTTACCGAGAATACCTTAAGCATTTCCAACAGAACCCCCTTTCCTACACATGCTCGCCTATGTGAAAAAGAACAAAAAAAGCCAACTGAAAAGCTCACAAACCCAACCCAAAAGGTAGCTGCTTTGGTAAAATTTGGGTGAAAGTTCCTAGTGCTTTTCCAGTTTGGTTTGGATTTGGTTTGCCCATTTCAAAAAAAAAAAAAAAAATTAAAAAACTGAATTAAAAATATTGAAAATAGCGGTGTTGTAATTAAATAATTCCAGGGAAAAATACTTGTGTGTAGAATAAAAAGAAATATATATATATATATGTACATCTTCCACTTTCCAGTTCTGCTGCAGTTTCCCCTAAACTGCTGCTGCTTGCTCCAATCTGCTGCCTGCTTAACAACGGAATGACAGGCAACATCTGTTTGTATAGCAGCCAAGATCAAGCCTTCAAAATTTTTTTGGCTCAGTTTCTTTTTTTTTCTACTTTTTTTTCTTTATTCTTTTTCTTTTTTTTTCCCCCCTCCCCCCGGAAAACTGTAAAAAAAAATAAAAATAAAAAATAGAAGTCAAAGAAAAAGTAAAAGCGCACAGCGAGATCCTGAAAGCGACTCAAGTGAGGCAGCAACTATTTCCCCTTGAGTTATTTCAAGGTACAGTACTTCGAGGAGAACTCTTTCCTCTCTCTCCACCCGCCGTCACCTCCTCCCCTGCTCTCCCCATCCTTCTCTCTTGCCCCACGCTATTAATAAAGTATCACATAAAGTGGGAAAAAGAAGTAATAATCCAACGTACCTTGATCACTAAAAGGCCACTCCCTCCTATGCGGAGGGAGGGGGGTTCTTCAGTAGGCAACTAAAAAGGAACTGTACGGGGAGGGGAATAACGGGACGGTTTCGGGGGACAGTGTTGCCACAATCCTCTCACCCTCTTTTTTCCCCTCTCTTTTCCTCCATTTTACAGACTATAAAATATACATCGTGCATATTTTCAAAATAAATAGTTTTAAAATAAATAAATTTGGGGGAGGGGATGGGGGGGGGGGATAATAAAAAAAATGAGCCCAGAGCCAAATACAATTCAAATGACTAACAATGTCAGCCTGCTGCCAACTCTGTGGCAAATCGGGAGAAAGCACAATAATTCCACATGCTGAGATGGGAACAACTGGAAAGCAACCAACTCTCTAGAAGTCACAATGAAAACTAGTACGGTGCCCCCACCCCCAGCCCCCTCTGCCATCCCTTTTGGAGTCACCCCCCTGTACCCTCCTCCTTCCAGGGATAAAAAAAAAAAGAGATGGAAAAATAAGCCACTAATGTAACAAAAGGAAAAGGAGAAGGAAAAACAACAACAAGAGCATCAATTGGAGCGATTTAAAAACTCAGGGAATGTTTTATTCACTGGTGATTTGGGACAACGCTCCCTGTGCACACACAGACACCCCCCCCCTCCTCCCTGACATGAAAAAAAAGACACCAAAAAATCAGACAAGTTGCTAAGGAGACTTGTGTAAACTCAGAATACAGGCACATTTCTGGCCTTTCCCCCTATATTCCATCTTGTATTCCGATCACGCACCACTGCGGCACGATTGCACCAATGCACTGCATTAATCTTGGCCTTAAACGGGCTGACTGGCAAAGCAAACTGTGTGTATATATCATCTTTCAAACTTAACAAGTTAAAGGGAGAGAGGGTGGTGGTGGGTGGGGAGGGCTGGAGGGGGGGCGGGAACCTTCGTGCTGAATATAAAATATAGGAGCCGAGCTTAGTAAGGGAATTTTAAAGAGGAAGTGTTATCCAGGCGTGTATATATAAAGCTGCAAGCCTCCCCGAGCTTCCTTGCGTCTCTCCCGCTCCTCTCTCTCCCACTTCTCCTCACAAAATCCCCCATCCCCTGGCAGATGTCTGAATCCCTGCCAGATCTAACAATGTCAGACCCACTCGCTGCCACCAGACACTGGGGCTGCAGACTACCTCATTCTCTCAGCACAGTGGGGTCGTATATACATATTAAACAACCCGCCCGATTTCTTTTTGCTTTCAGTTCCTGATGTGCATGTTCCTAAATCATACATTTAGGGATAATATTTTTGCCTTCTACTTTTGGGAGTAAATCAAAGCCTGGGCCACTCATGTCACTGCACAGCACAATCCATTCCACAATCCATTCCCTTTGGCTGGGACAAAATTCATTCAGCACCTGCCTTCTGCTCGTTTTGTACACTGCATTTCACAAGACAAGGATTTCAATCCTCACATGAGGAATCCGGTAATCTACAAATTCAACAGTGGCACATGCAGGAAAAGCCAATTTCATGGGCTGTGCCTTGGAGCTAGTCCTAGAGCACTAGTCGGCTTTCAGGTCTAACTGAGGGCTTATACTGAAGGCAGCATACTCTTGAAGTGGACCCCAAAATGCCATGATGAGCATCATCCTCACTTTATACCTGGGTCAGCAAAGGCACAGAGGTGAATACATTTGCTCAGCCTCAAGAGGGTTTCTATGCCAGAGCTGAGAGTGGTCCCTGCGTCACTTCAGCACAGTCAATGTCACATCGTGGTGCCTCCCATCCAGAAGCATCATCACGTGTTGGGCATACAGGGTGAGATGCTCATTCTCTGCCATGGTACTTGCTGTTCACGTGAGGGACTTGAACCCTGCACTATGGCAGGGGTGAGGGTGCTGAACAGCCAAAAGTCCCATGGGCTTTGTCTCAGCTTCAGCATAAGATGCAAACAGATAACTGTGACTAATGCTCTTGACAAGGCATAAAGGAGGGACAATATGGAAATCTGAAAGAAAAAGTATAGCTGGACTCTGAGCATCATGTGGAGAAAGGAGAGGCTGGCCATCAAGAGCAGCTCTACTGGTATCTTCCACTTAATCTAATGACAGTCTCACTCTTTAGACTATTATCACAGCACCCATTGGGGCCAATTCTGGCAGTGTGCTTTCCTTTCAGCTCCAAATGACAGTATGAGGGCATTACTAACAGAGGAGAAATTTAGAAAGTTTTAATCACTAAATCCGGGCTCCAAAGCAAGTGAATCTGTGGCACTGCACAGAAGTTAGAGAATGAAATATGCATCTTAAAGTGCCTCTCAGTGGGTTAATGCTCAGGTGGTTATAGAGCCCTGAGATTCAGAGGTGCCTAGCATTGCCTCCACTTGTCATTTCTCATTCCTCTTCCATAGACCTGCTGGAAAGTGAACATTTGACTCACCTGACTGCTTATCTTTGTTTGAGAAGAACCACCTGAAACAAAAATATCAAATGAACAAGTTAAAACTATTCATTTAAAAGAAAGGTTTGGCTTTTGCCCCAGCAGATAAGGAAAAAGTGGAAATCATCATAAAAAAAATATTTCTCATATATTAGTGGTTTTCCAAGTTAAACGAAAGCACAAGAGAGAAATATTTCCCTTTTCCTAGGTTTCTCAGTTCCTTTGTACAGTGAGATGCTCCAAGCCCAACAACGTGGAGCCAAAGCATCTGCCCCGCAGGACACCAAGAGCTCAGGCCCACACACTCTGGAATGGCTGAAATGAGGTTTAAGATGATGTTGCACCTTTACTGCTTCTGAAGGAGGTTATCGCTTTGACAGCACAGCCAGGAGAAGGGATCATGCCACAGCTTCTCATAAGCGTCAATGAAAAAATGGGTGATTTTAACTTCAAACCAGCAAAGGAGATGGTACAGACCTAACCAGACACTGCGCTGGGTTAGGAACTGCTCACACACTTCTTTCCCCAGGGTGAGCTGCAGCGGGGAGAGCTGCCTGCAGACATTCAGACCTTCAACCAGTCCAGTTGAGCTGGGAAGAGGATATTTGCCTTCGCCTGTAGCAAGCCATCTGTAGTTTGCCTTTGAAAGCCTCCTACTGCAGACACATCCAGCTCTGCTGAGACTGATTTAGTCTTCCATCACCGAGGTAGACAACTGAGCCCCAAGCAGCCCTGCCTAAAGGAATTACGCTCAATACTGGGTAAAGATCCGAGTGTACTGACTGCACCTGCACCGCCGCTGTCAAAATCCATATGGGCTACAGAGCAAGCAGTCATGTGTGCTTAGCCTGGACACAACTTGAGCACGTTTCCAAGGAAAAGAGAATCTGTAGGTCTCAGACCATTAGACAGATACTAAATACACCATCCAGCCCAGTAAGACAAGGTATTCGCAAAGCATCAGAATGGATAGAAAATTGGGAAGTAGTAAGGCAAGATAGAAGAGGCAAAAATAGGCTAAAGCCACTGCATGAGCAGTACCATGTTCTTTACATGCTTTTCCAGCTCTAGGCCCTAAGGTTTTCAGAGGAATTTCTAGCATTGAGGTTGACTAAGTGGGGCTACATTTTTGTTTTGGTTGCAAATTTGAAGGTACTATTTTTATCCACAAGTCCCCCAAAGCATCTGTTTCTCTCTAGCTGTTTAAGACTTCCTTTATAAGACCTAGTTAGAGGTATATCATTATTTTTAAATGCTACTCTTTGCAGTCACACTTACATTTTATCATCATTACATGTGTCATTATCTGTGTATTTGAACTGTGTAATTTGAAGATGAGGAGATAAAATCCTTGCAGGGGGTCTGAGAGTTACTTCCCCTTGAGCAAATATTTTGGGATAATACCTCCCATTTGGTACAAGCTAGTGCATTCCCAGTGAAAGGAGAAGCAGTCATTTCACAGGTCATGCTTTAAAGGCACCTAGAGAAAGAAATGGTTCGGAAGCATCCACAGGGCAGGCTAAATCCCCAGCAGAGAAGAATACCCAACTCATTCCTAGGTTGTGGTCAACACACAGCCATCCAGAAAAATCTGTACAAATATTATCTACTTTCACTGGAAACACTGTATTCACAGCAAGATCCATTTCTCCCAAGGAGTAAGAGATGGGAATATATCCAACTGTTTCAGGGTTGGACTCTAGGACAGAAGACAGTATGTCTTTTTTAACGAGCTACATGGAGTCACAATTACAACAGACCTGTCAGAGTAGCAGTTTTGGGACGCTTAAGGGTTCGTATAATGTGATGTAAATGCAACTCAGGTCATTTAACTTAGGAGGCCACTTTTTTTTTGCTGTTTCTGTAACTGATCTACTTTGCTGCTACTGATGGCTATGGGGATTTTTATTGCCTCATCACCGCTGTCCCCAGGTGATGGGCAAGTAAATGAGACCCACTCCAATCTCGTCTTATAGCAGACAAAAGATACACTCTTGTTACCTGACAGGCAAGGTACATCCCCGGGAGACTGTATGGCACCAACAGTGGGATGCTGCCTCAACACTGGCAAAGCACCAGGAGACCTCTGGGTCTAATCGGAGACACAGACACTTTCAGGAGTGATGTCTAAAGCTGTATTTCAAAGGGAACTATCAGATGTGTCATGCAACCAGCAACAAGACATGTAGAATTCCAGTTCCTGACAAGCAATGGCCCCAGTGTGACCTAAGGCTGTGTTGGACTTGATACTGTACTAGGATCAAAAGCTGCTATGCTGTCCAAGAGCGGGTCAAGTGCACAAAGTGGTGAACAGTCACATGGTTTGGGTTACATTTTTCACACCTGTCAAGGTTTTCTAGTAAGAAATTTTGTCTTTATACACCCTACATATAGGTATAAATATATATATATATATTGCTAGGAATCCTAAGAAGAAAAAGCCTACCTTCTTCCACCCTGAAGTCAAAGCTGTAACGAAGAGACCAGCCAGGACAAGCAAAGGCAACTTTTAAACAGAGCAATAGTGGTTCACTGGGAGTGAGAACAGCTTTACACAGTTTGTAGGTGAGCAAAACACAGCGGGGGACAAATTCTACTATCCAAACCCAGTTCACAGCTGCTTATCCAAAAAGCAGCTGCCACGTGAAAGCTCAATAAGGCAAAACCAACTCCAGGGTCCTAAGCTGAATAACTCACCCAAGGATCTGCAGGTTTGCATTATGGAAGCGCCACATCATGCCAAGGGAACACTTCAGAAAGTGGATGGAACATATTCATCAGGCATCAGCACACCCTGGCTAACGCTGGGAGACTTGCAGGGCACTGAGACCACAGCGGGTGCACACGCAGCTCACCCAGGCTGCCCAGCCCTACCCAGAGCTGCCACTGCCTGCCGTGTGCCCCCCGGGAGAACGTGTGCACACACCTACACATTCCTTCTGCATTATTCCATGGAAGGCTCATTCCTTTGGCCACTAATTCACTGAGCTCCGAGCAAAGCAGCCCTCTGAAAGCCGGTGCAAAGGCAAAAAGCTTGACTGGCATCTTATCCTATTTGAAAGTCAGGTATAAATCGTGCAAGAAGGACATTTTGTTGTACGTTGCTGTCATGTTTTATATGACTCCAAAACTTCAAACAAGAAACACTACCCCCCAAAAGAGGAAAACTGAGCCTGTGCATTATTCTAGACACACAAACCTACAAGCAGGTACAAATAAATTTAGTATGAAATAGATGCTGACACACCTAATGGAAGTCTCCAGTAACTGTCTTTCCTCCCTCCTAACATGAAGCTGACAAGTGTCCAAATCAGGTATCAGGGAGACAAACCTTCAACCCAGTCTTTTCCATCAGATTTTGACTGTCATTTGTGAAGCACTTCTGATTACTGGAATCCACTTATTTGGAGAAGTGCTGTGTTTATAACTTACAAAAATGTGGGCATACAAAATCTATTCTTTTTCGCCAGCCTTTTAGCGCTGCTCATGGACATTCGTTCCTTGGGCATCTAACTGAACCCAGAGAAGAATGTACCCTAATTTCATTTCCTAGTGCTGCTCCTCCTCAACCACTCTGAACCAGGCTGTTTCTCACTGCCACCAGGCTGAGTAAATAGCATTAATCATTGTGCCCTTCAAACTTGGCTGAGCTTTTGTGCCCTTACGTCCAGATTCTAAAGAGCTCCCCACTTGTAGGCGCATGGGGCTAGAACACTACTTTAAAGTTAAGGCTTTCAGAAAATTACCTGTGTCATCAATCAGGAGCTTTCAGTGTTGTAACTTCACTACTGCAATCGGGAGAGCGGAGCTTGACATTATACAGGCAGGGAATGGAAGCATGGAGGGAAGGAATGATTTTCAGAAGCCGACAGAGGAAGTGCACAACAGAGCCTGGAATTTATCTCACATCTCTTGGTTCCAGTCCAAATGCTTAAACCACAAGATCATCCTTCAGGCCTAGGACACCAACAGAATCTTTAACTCTCGCACTGGAAGATCCTGAAGCATTTTCAGTAGTTGTTTTGCAGCAGAGGTGGCCTCCAACCTTGGACAAGAACTGATCTGAGTGCCCAGGGCTCCAAGAGAGACAGAGTTTGGGACCTGTCTGTTGGATGAGAGCCTACACTTTATAATATCTGATTTGGGCATTTCACACCCCCAACGTGACATAGCACTCCACATATTTCTGCCCCAGCTGTGCTATGACAGTTTGCTGGGATCCAAAAATGGAGATTTTTCCAGATACAGTAACTTACTGAGAGTGTCCCTTGCCACCCCTTCCCTATACAACCTCAAACGGGGGGGAAATGAAACAACCAGAGCTTTGGGGATACCGTAAAGTAGTGAGTAAAATTGTAAAATCACTTGGAAAGAGAATATTTAAGCACAAAACAAGTTTTCTTGGAGAAGATTTGCAGGGAGGAAGAAGGGAGGTTTTCTACTGTGTAAAATATTGCTTTTCAGTATGAAAATACTGTAACCCCATTTCCCTTCAACACAGAACCAGCCAGAAAATAAAAGGAAACATGTTGATCATCATAGCAAGAGTGATGGCTAGGAGGGAAAGAAGGAGGGATGAGAAACATGTGTCTACATGCTCAGTACCAAAGCAAGGAGACTTGAAGCAAAGTAGATGTATATCTGAGAGGAGCCCGTCTTACTGGAAAGGGTGAACATGACCCTGATGGCCTCTTGTCCATCTCCTCTTTGGCCTGAGACTAGAAAAGGGACAAGTGGAACAAATGGGGTCACAGCTTAGCACTTATCATAGAGCCACCTAATAGGGAAAAAAAACCTGCCTCTTTCAGTCTTAACTGACTTAAAGAGAAATCGTTCCACCACTTCAGCTTTTTTGGCTGCATGTCCCCTTAGAACAGAGTGCAGTGAGCATTTTATCTCATCTCCATTTTCTAAATCTAGGTCACCTCAATCCGTGGCTGTGCTGCTAGTGATATGTCTATGATTTGCCACAGCCCTGGCTCGAAGGAACTCATCAGCAACTTAGGAAATGCTAAATGGCAAGCAGCATCTAGCAAATGGAGGAGGATTGATTGTTATAACCCAGTTTCTGCACAGTTACTGAAGGAGATGGATCACCCACCTTTGTAGGCTCACTCAAGGAGGAAAGCCTCAGGGCCCACAACCAAAAGCCAACGGATCTTCAGCTGCTGGACACAGCAACAGGAAACTGCATCATTCGTGACCCCCATGCTATTCCAGTATGGCAACAAAACATTTGCCTCCAGTAAGAGGAAACAGGGATGGAACAGACTGAGAAAGCTGTTCATGCACTGCTGTCTAGCTTTCTGGAGGTATCCTCATGTCTCTGAGATACTTGCAGACCTAAGACCAGCATAATTGAAGCCTCACAGGTCAAGAAATGGAGCCTTTTTCCTTTCCTCGCTCATGTGGGACTGCTCCATGAAAAGGCCTAATGGATGAACCTGTAGGAGATGGTCTTCTTTGTCATAGCAGTGTCTATTGCTGCAGACTGAAAGAGGGAGAAGTACTTTCAGACCTGCTTTAGATTAGGAAGAGACAGGAGAAATAAAAAGAGCATCTGACACCAAAATAAAACTATTTTGGTCACTGCCATCTCCCTTATTCTAAATGAAGCAATTGTGAGCTACGTTTGTTTTGCATTCATAATTAGCAGACAGAACAGATGGCAAAGGCGTCACTTAAAGCCACACGTCCGACAAAATAACCCAGGCTGCCAGTGCAATTTTTCTCTAGGAACAAGGAATACTTTCCCCTCTTCTTCCCATTGAAACATATCCCAAAGAAATGAGGCCAGCAAATGTTTGCATCAAGTAGGGGATTCACCGCAAAAAGGAACCCATTGTGTTGTGGAGTGTGTTGATTACTGGCTGAGTGAGGAAGAAAAGGGCAATAGCGAATGGATTGCTAAGAGAACAAAAAATAGGAATGGAAACTAGTGATACATTGCCAGCAATATAACAAGGGGCTCAAATAAACATATACTCTCTCCTCCCTTCGGTCTTGTGGTTCAGGCATAGGCTGGAACTCAGGACATCTGTGTTTCATTTAAAAGACAGCTGAATAGGAGGATCTTTATCAGTGAAGGTATCTGGTGTTCCACACCCATACCTGACAACTTTTGTATTAAATACATTTATCCTCTCAATACCTACTTCCACTTAAGGATACTGGAATACTCACTAAGAAACAAGAAAGGCACAAAGTTTAACGCATCAACCACTTCATGAGGACAGTTCTATGGCCAAGAGAGACTATTTCACTAGAAAACTAGAGTGTAAAACGCACGTGTGGCACTTCTATCCTGTTTCCTCTGCCACAAACACAGGCAAGGAATGAGATAAAACAACCCAAAACTACATACTACTTGCTGAAAGCATTGAAATGCTGACCCTTGGTCTATTAGACGGACTGTGTTTGGCACGTGACATCCAGAATGCAGGCATGTGAACATCTCAGAGGAAGAACTCCTTTAGGCAATCTCTCCTGAGAGCCCATCTCGTGTCACCAAGTCCCTTTGTTAGGTTCTCAACCTCCTACAAAGCCCAACACTTTAATCATGCTGAATATCCCTGCCTGTTGGAAACAGGAGAGACAGATACAAATATAGTTTTGTTCCTTTTATAGCCTTGTGAGGTCCTTCGACAGCCTTGCTGATGGACTACAAGAGGATTTTGGCACACCGTTCTCTGAGTACTATGGATAAGCTGTTCCTAGCATGCATGGCTGAGCAGTATCAGGACACAGACTGATGAGCAATATAATAAACATCATGAGCCTTGCCTCACTCCTACTGCAAATGCGCTAGTAATCATGAGCTTCCATAGCTACTGCAGTCTCTAAACCTTTCTGATGCTATTAAGATGCTAATAATTGTGAGTCTTGTCCAGCTATCACAGCCACAGGCCTCCTCTCTCAGATACTGCAAATGTGCTAATAATTGTATGCCTCAATAGCTACTGCAGCGCAGAACTCTGCTTTCTCTGATGTTGTAAATACACTAATAACAATGATGCTCAATACTCCTTTAGCCTGCTCAGCTGATCCTCAGCAGAACAATGCCTAGAGAAAGAGCATAGATCTCTGCAAAAGAGCACAGGCTTAGGGAAAAAGGATAGGTGCCTAGGAAAGAGCACAGACCTAAAGAAAGAGAGTTAAGTCCCTAGAAGTGCATGTAACCTAGGACAGAGCTCAGCAGGACCCAGCGTGCTGGAAGATGGAGCACAGCTCCCTGTTATGCTGCCTATGGCACTCACCTAGCAAAGGGGAAGCCTGGGCTCCCATCCCTGCTTCCAGGACTATGTATACATTCTGCATTAAACAGTCAGCAATTAAAATGCACAAACAGTCCTCCAAGCTGTGATCTCAATATAAATAGTCACTGACATAAAACAATTCACTAGTCAAATCATTAGTACAATCACTGGAGGAGGTAGGAAGGTGAATACCCGCCTTAAGACGTAGCCTCTGTCAATACTTAGTTATTCATGCAAACTGGAACAGCGTTGGAGGCTGGAGCTTGGCACACGTTCCTGCACGCTGGATGTGGTTCAAATTTCCTTAAGGTAGGGGGAGGTAATTGAACCGGGGTGTCCCACATCTGAGGTGACCACATGAACTCCTTGATGAAAGGAAGGTGCTCCTGAGACTGCTGCTGCTTTTGCTGCTGCCTACTACTCTTCCTTCACCTGGTCAAATCCAGCCTTTAAAGCTCTGCATTTTGCTATGTGAAAGCTCAAGAAAGACATATTCTGTTAAGCATGGGGGGAAAATGGTGTGGGGGTAGAAGACTCCCCTTTTTGGGGAAGGAAATGTAGATTTTTTCCCCCATAACTCCCCGATTCTGTCACTGATCTCCTTTACTCCCCCTGCCTAAAAATAGCCCATTATTCACACAGATTAATCCCACTGAAGCCAAGGGTAGTTATAAGATTTCTGAAACCTTGGTACACTTCTAATTTGGGTGCCAATAAATTCAGCAGATTAACAGGTGTCAACATATTCATGCACAGGGTTTAATAAATGTCAAAGGCATTTGGACCCGGAATTCAACAGTAGCAGAACAAAGCTGGTATGCTTATTGTAAGCATGAACACAAGTTATTCATCAGTTCACAAGCCATCTTATCATGCTATCTACACCCAGATGTGTTATTCACTATGTTACACCATAGGCATATGTGTGTTCAATATTTAATCTGCAATAGCACTTGGGGACATCAATTAGATGTGCTATACTTTTAGAGCATACTTAAATAGAGAAGGAGAGAGGGATTAATCTTAATGCAAAGAGAGGTATTTCAAATCTCTAAAGGTGAAGCCCTTTATAAGTGGATTGATTGGGTCAATTCACCGTTTTCTACAATGCTGCTGTAAGTCTTATGCATTGTCTGTTATGTGGCATCTGACCATTTCTTCATGGTGGGAACTTTACCTGGTGTGTATAATACCTCCTTCTTCCACAGCGTTAACTTTTGCCCATAGGCAAGATTCTCACAAGTGCCACAAAGTATGCAGTTACCTCATTCTTACTGTCTAATCATAATTTCAAGAGGATGAGGTAACCAATCTCAACACCAATAAACTTATTATCATTGTTCAGCCCAATTTTCCTCCTTTCTTTTCATTTATTCAATTAAACCTATTCACATCTATGGTCTAGCATTAATGCTATGCATTTATGGCACTTTGAATAATGATTCCCACAGTGGGAGGCAGTTCTGAACTCCATCTTGAATTCAAGTCTCCTGCTGGAAAGACACTAACTTGAGATGAGATGTCTGCAGGCAGCTCATGAAGAAGGGACATGTACTATTAGCAGTGCAGAGGTTCCTGGTAACATCTGGCTACAAAAAGCACCTTCATGGCATAAGTCAGGTAGGCTAGAAGTCTCCCAGATGTGCTTTTTCTTTCTAAGCTTGAGCAAACTAGGCTGAGATACCTTAAAAATGCCCAAGCAATTCCCACAGCCTCTTGAAAATCCAGTTTTCTATTGATTTTTGCATTGCTGAGCATGCCACAAAGCCTCAGAACCGTGTGTTACCAGTGACTTTTGACAATGAGACTGTGATATTGCTTGGGGCTTGCAAAATACAGATAAGTGAGTGCCCTGCTTCCGACATTAAGGCATACTTCTTGATAACAAGTTTAAGATTCTTTTGGCTTTCTTTCATCCTGTTGCTATCACTTCTTGCCCCAGTTTCTCAGGGGGGCAGAACTCAAATGCATTCAGACGTACCCATGCCGTAATATATAAAATAATAATAGGTTAAGTAGATAAAGGCTTTCCATCTTAGGGCAGAGAAAAGTATTAGTTAATTAATAATCAAGTTGGCATTAACTTATCTTTTGGCACCTACAATAAAACGTAAATCTAGAATGAGCAGTAGGGGGGAACAATGAAATTAGAAGCCAACAATAGTTTGGTAAATGGATGACAAAATCCAAATGTTCTGCCTCACTGCTGCTAAATTAAGCACAGTGTTATCAGTGCAAAGATTAAAAAAGGAGAGATTTTCCTCTGAACCTTAAGTCACACTTCTTAGCTGCACCGAACATGACAGCACTAGTGAAGACAAGAGAATTCACTCACCCTGAAAATGAGTGGAAATAGAAAAGGATCTGTTCAGTTCTTGATTTCCCCAAACAGGAGTTCTATAGAGTAGAAGAAGAAAGAAGGACATTAGTTTATTGTACGCAGCAAACAAAGAACTGATCCAGCACACCCCCTCCTAGGCACCATCCAGTCCACCTTCACCTTGCTTCGCCTTCAGCCGCTTCCCCCTGTGAGGCACTAGGCAGGGGATTGTAGCCAACCTGCCCTTTCTTTGATACTTCCAAGTAGCAAGTGCTGTACTGAGATCCTGCCTTTGGCTGAGTATTGTCCTGAGAATTGTTTTAGTGTGAAAAGGATGAGAAAGATTGTTTTCCCACCTTCCATCAGAGGCGCTCAGCTGCTGAACGGAGAGGAAAGATCCTCATAATAAGCTGCCTCTTCTCCAATTGATTTTGTTTAGCTTCCTTTTCAGTAAAACTCACTCGGAGAGAGGTCGCTTTCGTATACACATGCGTAATACTCAACGTATGCACCAATTTTAGTATTAAGGGATGTGCATGATACCTCTACCTACAGCCGAACTCTATAATATATACACACTATATTTTTATAGTATTATTAATTACTATTAATTATTACTATTACAGCAGATCATAAACTCAAGTCAAAATAGACCCAAAGCCCATCCAAGCCAAACCACCTCTGCTATAGACATTCTCTGAGATTGTGGACCCCAGTTCCTCATCCATTAAGGCAAGACAGAAAGCACTGCTCTAGCTTCTAGTGCTGTGGGGTGCCTGAGTACTATAGACCCAGAAGTTTTCTAGGCACTAAGATGGAGAGATATGCTTTGATGCTCTTGGGCTCAAAAGACAGATCTGCTCTAATGGCTTCTGGATTAAATAGGTAATCCTAGTCTTTACTATTGATCCATTCTTGGTAAAATCACTTAATCAACCTCTATCACCATCTATTTCTCAGTTAAACTTGATGATACAGTCCCCTCGGAAGAAAAATTGTGAAAACAATTAATGTTTTGTAAAAGGCTGTTAAAAGAGAAATATCACATCTGTCACTTTCACCCCAAAGCCAGATGAGAACCAGCAAGGGAAATGATTATACCCATTAAGGGAAGTGATTATACACATTTCTTGCAAAGATACAATTCATAAACATTCAGTTAGTTCCATGTCAAACATTTTGCAACCACCTGTGGGTGTTTATTTGATCAAAGTAAGCATGCTCCTTCCTGCCCAAGCACAGGCAAATCACCTCCTGGTAAAGGAGACAGTAGGATGGATGTGCGCACTGCTCCTCCAGCAAGCTATTTTATTACCAAATGAACTGTGAATATGGGAAAGTAGAAAGACATCCTTAAACTATCTTTGCACCTGCCTTTAATTCAACATGTCCTAAACTCCATTTGCTTACAAGAGTCTCCCAGGAATCCTGCTCTCCTGAGTCTATAAACCCACTGTTGCCAGAAGGAATAAAGGCACCTGACCCAAGGCAGCTCCGACAGCTGTGTGACACCTGGGGAAATCATGGTATTCCACAAAGCCAGCTTCCTAGATGAAAATCAATGTACTTCTAATCAGCAGGGCAACTTAGCCCACAGCTTCTAACCCAACTGAAAACTTACTACTTCTGTAGATCCATCTATTACCCTTTATATTCTCTTCCCTTCTGTTTCCCTTTTGCCACCAACATGATAAGAAATCCAGCAATTCAGTTCTAATCAAATGCACAAAACCCACCAAGGCCTGGTCTTAGCCACATCAAAGTCCATTCAGAGGCTACATTTTCCCCCAGCTTGTCCAGCCACAGTGGCTCACACATTCACAGTGAGGAGAGGTAAAATGTTTCTGGATCTCTAAAGCAAGGGATGATTTTTTCCCATTGACTCTTGCATTCATTAATTTCATTTCAAGAATGAAGTCAGCCTTTCTTGTTCTTTTTCTTGTTAATGTGGCTGGTTATTTGACGAGTGAAGCATTAGATTTGCGAGTTGTTCTGCAAGCCAAAACATGCTCCCTTTCATTCATAACACTGAGCTGCTCTGCGTTAAACAGCCGATTATCATGAATGAAGTGGGTGTAACTTCCTTGAAATCCTCCAAAGACCTGTCAAAGCAGAGCTACTGCAGCTCAGTTTTCTCCTTGAAGCGTACAGATCATTGGTTTAATTGTTCCACACTGATCTTGAAATATGCTTTCTTGGTTCAAAGCGTTAGGCGGTATCACTTTTTGGAGGAGGAAAAGGGAAGGGTGGAGAATGGTGCCTCAGGATAAGAAAGAGAAGTGGGTATATGTCTCAACCATCAAATTTAGATTTTCTTTTGGAATCTAAATTGAGCTTCATCCATTTAAAAGTGTGTCAGACAAAACCTCACAAATCAAAGCCCTGGCCTGTTTTGCATGGATAATCAAGAGCCTCTGGCTCTTTTTGTAAGTGGAAATGCTTAACCCTAAAGAGAAGAGGACTGATGTTACGGTTAAAGTGCTGGCCAGTGATTTAGAAAGTTTCAATTTGACTCCAGGTCTGCCATTCTCCATTCCATTTCAAACCTTTTGGTGCTATCCCAGTGTTATCACCTTTAGGTAGGAACCTGCTGATTGGTATTTATGAACTGCAGAGGCCTTTGAGCCTGAAGACTGAAAGACTGCACATACAGTAATAAATGTCTATGAACCTGTTTAATATAAAGATCTTTCCAAGGATGGCCATTATATTTAATAAAAAGACCTGCAGCGTCTCAGCTCTTTCTCTTATCACACACCAATGGATGGATTTGGCCAGTAACTAATTGTGATAGCACCACTGACTTTGGCACACCCACTAAATACTCTTCCCTGTGAGGGTGCTGAGGCGCTGGCACAGGGTGCCCAGAGAAGCTGTGGCTGCCCCATCCCTGGCAGTGTTCAAGGCCAGGTTGGATGGGGCTTGGAGCAAGCTGCTCTCGTGGAAGGTGTCTCTGCCTGTGGCAGGGGGTTGGAACTGGATGAGCTTTAAGGTCCCTTCCAACCCAAACCAATCTGGGATTCTGTGAAATATCTGACCCATATCTGATTTCTTGCCTAACATTTTTAAAGCAAGCTAATGTTGACTACGGGAAGCTCAGTAAGGAAAACCATGAGCAATAACACACTTCACAAGGGTTAGTTTTGGGAAACACTAGGGGGAAAGCGGCACCAGTGAAAGCTATTCAAATCTTTGTATTTCAGCTCAGATTTTCTGCTAGGTTTCATTCTCTCACCCACAACTGAAACAACAACAAATCTTGATGGTAGCTACACGACAACAGTTTTTACACATCTCTTAGCAGCTATAACACTAACAAAGGCTGGTGCTTTTGGAAGAAAACCCTAAATATTTGTCCAGCATTTTGGGAACCTCAACCTTAGTAACACATTGCAGCCAGCTCCAGAGACAGTGCTGCTTCCAACCTGCTCCTGCTTCCTTTATCACCTCCCTGCAATGAGGCGATACCCACCTGGCAGCATTCACATGTGATTGGAGACTGTACTGTAATGCTGCCCCCTCTCCTTAGGGCTCCAGTGATGCAAACTAAAGGTGCCCACAGCAGGGCAGGTACTCTACCAGCTCGCCTCTGTAGAAACCCACATCTCTTCCTTGCTTATCAGCAAATGGAAATCACAGGACCATATCCCGAGGGATTATTCTGCTCCCATTAAAGTGAGCAAGAATTTGCCACAGGTTTAAAAAGCAGCAAGAGCTGGCTGACACACAAGCAGGTCTGACAGGTTGCATTTTCCTTCTCATTACTATTACAGGCATGAAGATTCATTTCTATTTATCTTTAGCTGGCATTCGGTCCTGGACTTAGACTGCATCTGTGGTTGCATTGCTGTGAAATGTATCACTACTTATGACTCACGCTGCAAAGGACATATTTGTAAACTGACCCACCATTGACAAAATCCTCTCTTTCTTCATTTGTAGGAGGCGAGATGAGGCATAGGTTCCTCGTCTGATTCATTTCCTGAGGAAATTTTTACTCTCTGCATCTCTTTCAGTCCTTATTCAGTCAGAGAGGAGTGAAGTGATTAATACAAGATCCAGGCTTGACACCGAGTGCAAGGAGGATTCATTCAAATTCTTTTAAAATCAGCGCTTAATTAATTGCTCAGAAAAACAGCCCATTGCCAAAAATGTGTGGGGTTGTTTTCTGCCTTTTCTTTCCTTTTTCTTTCCTTTTTTTTTTTTTAGTCTTTCCCACTTGAGAAAGCTTTTCCAGTTGAGAAACTAATTACAGGCAACGGCACACAGCAAAATGCACGAAAAGACAAATCTGGCACCTTTTGAAACCAACCCCTTCGGAAGGAAGAATTAGCAACCTGGACAGAGCTCCAGGCAACTCCAGCTCTCCTGCGGCTGGGGCTCGAGCTAATTCACTTACAGCCAGCTTTGGTCCTTTCTCACAGCACTGCGGCAATCCTAGCAGAGCTGGATATCTAACGCCTCTGAGAAACACAGAACAATGATCAGACCATTAAAATTGCCAGAAAGAAAAAGATAACACAAAGAGAGCCCTGAGGAAGCTGCAGTAAGTTTTCTTGACAATTTTTATCTACTTGATTATTCATACCAAGGCAGTACTAACCAAGTCCAGATCGGGATGGGGTTGTGAACAATCCCTGGGGCTTGGAAGGCTGTGCAGAACTTGGCACTCGGGATCAGGCTCATTTCTCCGTCCTATTAGGGTGGACAATATTAGCCTACATGATGAGGGAGGGAAATGAGTGTGTCCTTTCCCTTCGTTTCTTCTCTCTCTCTCCCTCTCTCTTTCTCCACGTTCTTCTCCTCTTGTCTTTTTCCCTGCGAGCACTGAATGATGGGATTTTTGACATCAGAGGAAAGTCATCCCTTCTCCACTCCCCCAGCTCCTGTCCGCTTCCTCCTTAGACACGTCTGTTCGTTTGCATACTATATCCCCACTCAAAGAACGGGATCAGCTGATCCGACCACAGCTTCATTTAACTAAGCATCCTAAATCCTGCCCAAAGTAGACCAGACTGACTGGTTCATTCACCCTGGCAGCCTGCTTCCAACAAGCCTTTAAAGTACATTTTGTAAC